ACAAATAAAAAGAAAACAGGAAGGGGAGTAAGATCATACATTAATAACAAAGGATCTGGAAGGGCACACCAAACAGAGCATTTCAGCCAGCATCCACCACCCCAAAAAGAGTGGAAGGAGCCTGCAGACACCAACGAATGAAACTGCCCAGAAATGTGAGCAGAGGAGTGACAAAAAGATATCCCCACACTTGCCCAGGTTCCTCCCACCCACAGCCTCCTTCCTGGTCTTTGATGGCTAGAAAATTATATTTAGAGGTTCACTTTTAGGAACTGGCTTGTAGATAAAGTAGATATTTCATTAGAACAATGGTCCAAGGCAATGGTGAGGGTTAACTGGTTTCTAAAATCCTGTTTGTGACAAAGTTTCCTTCAAGGCCCACTGTCTGATGCCAGCACACACACAAGCTGGGAAATTGAAGATATGTACCACACTGTTCCATAACATAAGGAAGAGACTCTGCCATATTGGCTAGGTCATAGTGAACAGCTGCAGAGCCCTTACGATTTCTGGTTCTGGTGGACAGGCCAAATTAAGATACTGGTAAATGACCAAATTAAGATGTGTACATGTGATGGGTTTGATGGAACAAATAATTATACTGACAGGACAGAATGTAGACAGTATGATGGCCACAGGGAAACTAATTAGTTGTACCTGGGAATGAAGAGTGATCAGAGGAGGAAAAGGATATAAAAAGAGGGATTTCAGGGCAGCGAAGGGTCCCCAGGGGGGGAATGCAAGGCCACCATAGACAGAGGATACACCACAAGTCTCTCACCCACCCCACTGTGGGGGCAGGTGGGCCTTGGACCCCGACCTCCAAGCTCCTGACATCTGACATTCAAGAAAGAACCACAGGGTGAAGCTTGCGTACTGGCTGGACATACCTTCCCTATATGGCAGCCCTAGTACTGGTAGATACAGAATTGGGAGGGAAGGTTATTGTATTTTCCTTGCCTGAATTATTCTTTTCTGCTGTTACTGTGTATCAATAAAATTAACTTATTATCAACTAGAATCATAGAATCAATGAGTCAGAAGGGACCTAGACAGATCATCTAGTCCGACCCCCTGCCATGGGCAGGAAGGAGCACTGGGGGTGGCAGGGGTCATAAGAACCCAGCCAGGTGCCTATCCAGTCTCCTCTTGAAGATTTCCAGGGAAGGTGAGAGCACCACCTCTCTGGGAAGCCTATTCCAGGCTCTGGCCACCCTTACAGTGAAGTAGTTCTTCCTAATATCTAACCTAAACCTATCCTCCCTCAGCTTGTGGCCATTGTTCCTGGTGACTCCAAGGGGGGCCCTGGTGAACAGACTTTCCC